CCTCTAAAACTGTTGATTCTAAGATATTTGGAAGAGGAAGCAACAGTTTAACAAACCCAAGATAGATATCGCTTAATCTGTCGAGCGGTTACTTGGCGATATTTACCACGCTATCGACAAATTTAAGCTTTTTAAAGATAAGCATTTTGGAGAGCATTTTGTTACAAATTCTACTGAGAGTGGAGTTTCAACAGAGAGGTTCCTCATGTATATGGCAAATATTGGCTTAATAATTCTCCTAGATCAACCTTCAGATCCTCAAACATTCTCTGATGTCATTAGTTTTATTGACAATTATATTTCTACCGATGGTCTGACAACCATTAGAAAATTATTTGTTATCAAAAGCATAACCACAGTCGGTCTTGTCTAGGGAAATAAGACAACAGTTTTTCGTTTTGGATACCATATCCACCAATGCCTTCAACGCAAATACTGTTACTTACAGAAACAAGTCAAAATTCAGAAAGACACAAGAAACTTTTTCAAAATTCAAAACGTTTTAAATTCAAATATGACTAGAAGACATTTCTAATTTAAACGATTTTAATACTTGTCTGATAGTAGAATAAATATGTCTTTGATGACTATTTGTTAGCCCTTAGGTCAAGTTTAACAAAACAAAATTTTTCTAAAAGGAGAATTAAGATCGTTTTATAAACGCTTATAATCTCTGATTTTGAACTCCATAGAAAATATGGATATCCAATATATACTGGATGCATATGTTGTGTTCATATATAATTAATTATATTAACAAGTCTAAAGGGAATTTCTAGGTCTTAAATGAAGCTATACGAGGTAAATGGGAAATATACTATTAAGCAAAACTTAAACATATAGTCAAAATTTATATCAGGCACAGAAATATCTGAGAAGAAGCAGTATATTGCTGCATTCCAATCTTTCGAAGGCAAGTAATGCAGAAATATTTATAAATACCTCTCGACCTGAGCAACGCGTTCGAATGGTAAACCTAGAGCGGAACTTCGAACCTTCCTTCAGGTTCGACTGAAATATTCGTAGCCGGTATTTAGACGTTATGTTCAAAGATTCAATCAGTTAGAAACTCTTGTTTAGCTGATTTTGCATCTAGGTATAAATATTTTAAATCTAGTAGAAGAGCACAAGATAATGATCGAAGAAGAAGAGAGGGAAGACGATAATTTACCAGAAAGCGGGTTCATGCGCCTCTTAAAGACGGTAGCGGTTTTGTAAAACGCACAAAACTGTGTATTATTCGGTATAGAAGGTTTAACCAGATTTGGCCAGAGTTGAGTATTTCAGAATGTTAATGCTTTACTATTTGGCGGAATGAACAGAAGATCTCATTGAAAACGATAATGAGAGACTTGGATAACACATCATTATAATTGAGGAAAATCAAGAAAATATGATGTTTTGAGGAGAAAACTTGAAAATGTTCTAGAAAGTCTTTATAATGAAATAGTTATGGACGAAGGTGCTCAAAATGAACTACTATCGTGAAATGACTAGAGTGTTGGCACTTCCAGAAATAAACCAAATATAAATTTGCTGACTTGCAATGGTTTCAACAGATAATAGAATGAATCTGATTCAATATTAGACTTATTAAACTACCTTTAATTCCAGTTGAGGATCTATTTTTAGTTCAAAGTCTAAATACTAAGCGAAGAACTCATTGAACATTTGATGCACCACCTAAAACAAAACAAATTTATTTTATGAGTTCATATGGCGGTGCAGGTAGGAGAGTCGTTTGATATCTGAATATATCAAGCTTCAACATCGTTACAATTCTACACCTGGATCCAACTGTCCTTAAAAGTTCTTCTTTGCGCACCTACGGTAAAGCAGCATTCGAAATAGGTGGAATGACCTCATTCAATATTCTTTACTTGTTAATCAGTTGAATAGAGATTGAGGCCACTTACAATGACAGTGAACTCATTGTATTCCAGACTTATCGATTTAAAATTAATCATAATTGATGAAATATCGATGGTAGGTGCTCGATGTTTAGTCTAGTTGATGCGAGATTAAAACAAATTTTCAAACAGACAGCCCTCGGTGGTATACGACTAGTGTTTGGTGATTTGAAGCAACTTACCTGTTGGAGATAGGTGGATATTCTCTCCTAATCCCAATGATGCATACAGCACTTTAGTTGGTCTGCCTTTGTGGGAGTTATTTAAATATTTTAAGTAACAGAGATTATGAGACAACGGAGGATTGTCTAATTGCATTAAATCATATGGCATCTGGTACTATGACAAATGAGGACATCATCATTGAAACCGTAGTAGGTTATTTCAAGAAGTTCGATGATGCCATACATTTATTTTGGTCCAATGAAGAGATAAATATCTAATGCCTTAAGCTCAGTCGATCCCAACAGAAGCTTTCTCTTCAACTGCAAAAGACTCAGTTAAAGGAATTGTATAAATGAAAATGATAATATTTTGGAAAGAGTAAACTTTTCAAAACTTGAAACGTAGAACTGCCCTATGAATTGACACTAAAATCTCCGCCAAATATATGATTACAGTGAACATAAACACGTGTGACGGTTGGTTAAGGGGCAGCTGGACAACTTATGCAAATGGATTTCCATTGTTCTTTTCAAATTTGTGGATTAAATTTTGGAACTTCTGTTGGTTTGATATCAGATCAAAAAGCCTCATCCTAGAAAGTTCTGGACAATTGAAAAGTTCTAAAATCTTTTCAATATAAAGAAATGAACAAATTTCAATTGAAAGAAACTGCTCTAGTTGTTCCCAGGAATAACTATTCATAAAAGTCAGGTGTCAGGGTCAGGGTGTAGTCTATACTCGACCCAGAATGCCTAGAGCTTCAATATGTCGCTTGTAGTCGAGCTGCTTCTGCAGTCTATTCATCATAGGAAATTTTATTTCTCCTAACAAATTTTCTGAATCGGATCCCGTATTTAGGGAACTGAGGGAATTGAACACAAATAAAGCTTTGAAACAAGTTTCAATTTTATGATTTCAGGACATCAAATTTTATTCCATAATGTTCAGAATCTTCAGCTCACGCTTGAGTTATCTCTGCGAAAGTTTTAATATACCAGGATTTACTCCAATTAACGAGCTGAGGATACATAGCACGGAAACAACCAACAGAAATAAACGGGGCATTATAATATATGCAAAGCATAGTATTACTTGCTCTATAGAATCAAAGGCTGTAAAGAAAATTTATTCAGGCAGCAAAGTTTAGAAGCGGTTTTGTTTAAATGTTCTAATATTAATATTCTGGTTCATATAGAAATCAGCTTTCTGTCTCAGAAAATTAATTGTAGAACTTCAGGAAGTCCTTACTTCTGAGTTAGGCAATCAACAGCTAATTGTTGGAGATTTTAACATTTGTTCAATGTCAAGGGACTGCAATAAGAAATCTGCTCCAAGAAAAACTTTAGTTCCTCGTTGTAGAATATTCAACTACACCTGCCGGTACACAAATTGATTGGATGCAAACATGGATCCTTCCCGTGTAAATGCAATTACTTTTGAGACAGTACACAGCTATCATGACAGTATTTGTGTCTCTATTTCGAACTAAAGTTTTCAGACTTAGTGCAATAGTTCTTCATTTTTTTTTTTCCAAATATAATCGAATTGGAATGGTATAGGAATTTTGACAGTAGTTTTTAAGACAATTTTAAGAAAAATATGTAAATAATCTAACTAAGAAAATTGAAATTATATATATAATTTGTTATTATATATGGCATTATTGTATAAATATATGATAGAAATTAAATAGTATAAGGAAAAAAGAAATATAATTTGGATATATGTATAAGAATCTCTACAAAAATTTATGTTTAATATTGTAAATATTATATACAAATTAATATAATAATATTATATCATTTTTAAAGTTGTTAATATTTATTATTTTTAAGCTAAACATATGTAATAATATCGATATAATAAATAAAAAATGTTATTCATTGTTCAAAAACGATTTCTTTTCATACTTCTCAATACAGTTGTAATGTATTCTATATAAAATCAATTATAAGCGTATACAAAAAGCACAAGAACGATTTCTCATAATTTGAGTAAATTTAGTTTACAAATTGCTCTAATTATTTTCACAGTGAGTGAAAAGTAAATAACTAAGGCAATAGTTCCTACTTCTAAGTATTAAAATATATAAAGAAGTCTCAAACGAATATACCATTTAACTTTGCGAGTATAAAATGTTCGGTTACATCCGAACTTAGCCCTTCCTTACTTGTTTAAAGTTGTTATTTAATTTTTTTTATTTAAGTTAATTTATAATAACTTATGAACAAATATTCTGAAACATTGAAATAAATTTAATTAAAAAGGTTTATAAAAACCAAAATATTATACTCTGTAACAACATGTTGCGAGAGTACAAAAATGAGAAAAATGTAAAGAAGCACCATCATTGACCAATAAGATGCGAGCAAACTTGCGACATATTTTCTAAGTAACTCATATTAGAACGACAACAAAATCATTCATAAGGAACGTGCGTTTGCTACAAAACAAAGTGCGATCGTTTATAACTCTACACTTTCTGTGCGCCTGGTCAACTGCAATTGATTTTCATATGGAATTCCTACTCGCAATTGCGCGAGAATGACCTAAATTAAGTTTAAATGAAATGAGTTGAATGATTTTAGTAAAATCGAAGAAATCAGCCAAAATTTCAATCTGACAATTCTCTGAGAATACTACCATCCCCATTTGCATAAAAATCAGAAATTGAAGAATTTGTCTGATGTTCCCTTCAGAAAGGAGAATTGGCAACATAGTCTCATTAGCGACTCAAAATAATATTTTAATTTATTTCATATTATGCACTATATATGGCAATAAATTATACAATTTCTGTACAATTACCATTCATATGCAATCCTTTATTACTCCATGAGTTTTAAGCACACTCCATATAGTGCTTTTATAGGTTTACTTATTATCATTATTTCATATATTTTCGATTTAGTCCATTTTATCTAAATACTACGCTATGAAAATGCAGGCAAATCGGTAATCACTTCAAAAAGAGCATAGGTCATTTTTCGTTAGCAAAGTAATTGCGTGACAACATAGCTGACCGACATTGTCGCAAAATTGTCGATTCAAACAAATTTTGTCAACTCCGCTACGGTGCGTAAAGTTCGGCGTCAGTATGTATGCGAGCTCGTATGTATGTATGTTTGTCGGAAAAGTTGTAATTTTTTTAACGTTTTGTCAGAACTCAATTTTTTTTAGCAGCAACACAATGTTGCTCCGTCCAAACTCGCCGTTACTGACATGGCATGCCCCCAGGCGTGTCATCCGATGCTTTACTATTAATGATAGTATTTGATTTATACGGGGAAATACATATTTAAACATTAAGGGGTTATTTACTTAATATAATAATATTTACATAATAATCAGGGGTGCTATGGAATCCAAACCGATTTGCGTAGTTGTCAGCAAACTAATTCTGATTTTCTATGATGAATCTTCGAACATACGCAAAACCAATATTCGAATAAGCTGTTTACTAATGTGACGAAACTTGCAAGTGAATTAATTTGAAATCGTTTGATAAATTCAAATTAATGAATAAAGTCAACTAAAATCGCATTTAGATGTTAAATTTCGTTTTTTAAATCTTCTTAAAATATCTGAATTTTTTCCATGAACTTAATAATTATGACATTTTGTGTTTTATTCTTATGTTTTCCCCTATAGAAATAATGATAAATTAAATCGTAACAATAATATAAATTAATTACATACATTTCAAATCTGTCAGCGACTGGCTTGTTTCTGCTTTGTTTCCAATAAGAAAGCCGATAAAAATTAATTTCCGAGGCATCCAAAAACCTATGGAATTTCTGTTTCGAACGTCAAATCAATAATATCTGATTCCGACAACTATCTGATTCTACAAAACCCCTGAATATAAATATACAAATTTTAAATTTCCATATAAAATTGATTTCGTTTCAACTGTTCTAGCATAAAAGTTAGAAACATTGCTTGCGCGAGACAAGAAGTAAGCATTCGCGTACGTGTATTTATGAATGTATGTGTGATTGCACATATTTGTGTACATTCGCATTAATAAGTGAACATTTACTAAATATATGAACATATTTCCCTGAAATATTTTAATTATGTCAGTAAATATGATATTAAAAAAGGAAAATATATATGAGTTTCAGGGTTTGAACGTAAATGCTCGTAATCACATTGAGCTTAACTCCTTTATTGTTATCCTTTGCCTATTAGATATTGTAAACGCAAGTAACGCAGGGTTTTTTACATATCTGCTAAATAGTAGCGTTAAAAAAATGGTCCTCTTAGCCGTTCAATCGATCATCATACAAAATTCGATTTGTACCTTCTTTATATTTTACGATCTAGTTTAAGGTGATGCATACAACCGTTAGGTAAACAGAACTATGGTATTAAACTCTGTAGCAACATGTTGCAAGAGTATAAAAATTATATCTCACAAAAATCTGCAAAATCTAAACATAAATTATTATTATTACAAGTATACGTAACAGTTTATTAAAACACTTAAAATAAAACTTAACTGATGAAGCATTACAGCATGAGTATATATTTATAGACAAATAATTCCTTGGTTCTAATAAATGGGCAATTTAAAAAACTTTCAAATACTATAAGTATACAAAATATCCCAAAAGAAAATAATATTTATATTAAAGCAAGTTCGCTTAGTTTAGCGACTATCGTGTTCATAAGTTCCAAAATATTTGTTTGTTAGAAAATCAAACTCAGCGTGCCGAACCAAAACTTTCCCAATATCTCGCGTTGTAACATTCAAACTTTTAGTAGCTGGTTGGTTTTGTTTTGAGGCTACTGCACCCCTTATAATTTTTTCAATAAATGTGTTTAAGCACTGGGACAACACTGCTTGCGCTAAAGGATATATTACATCTCCTTCAACTTGTTCCGGTTGCAGTTGTATATTAAAATCTCGGCAAATATCGCTTACAAGTTGAGACGACTTTTGGAGATGATCCGGGATTGCTAAATAAAACTGCTGTTCTTGTTCACAACTATGTTGTTGATTTGATCGTAGATATTCTATATTAAATCTGTTACGATTCTTTGACTTCGGTAAGCTAACGACATCAATTGGCTCCTCGGAGAATTCTACACCACTTTCTTGGTCAATAAATTTTTGCCATCCACAATCGATCCAAGGTTTGATACGATGTTTTGGAGTTATTGATTCATATTGTATATAGTTCTGCTCGGATTTAACTTCGCTTTTGACAAACTGCGAAAAATCACGTTCCTTCGAAAGATTGTCGGTATGAAATTTGTTTGGTCCAATAAGCTGCCCGGACATTATGTCAATTGACTTCATCTTTGGCGTGAATGCATGATAACGAGCATATACTAGTACCTCACGTGTGCTCCAAACCCGTCCTTTATCATAATAAAGTTCTTTTAAATATTTGTGGTTACGAACAAAGCGTGTAATGTATTTAGCGCGCAACCATTCGCAGGCGCGTTGTTTTAAAACGGGCATTGAGTGGAATTCTTTTTCGCTATTGCTTACGAAAGAGAAAGCAGCTGCTAAGGTATTTTTGGGTGCAATAAGAGGCAAATGTCGTAATATGTAATCTATAGCGGAACGCATTGAATTAATATTTTGATTCAAAAAGTCTTGTTCGAATTTATTTCTACACTGCTGCAGAAGCTCAAACGCACTACTTGCTTTGGCACGTGTTTGCCTTATACCCAAATGAAGTTCTGGTACATGTGACTTAATTGATCCCGATATAATTTCTAGATTGTTTAAAGTGGTGTTGCCTTTATTAACTTTTACCGAAGAGTGTGTATAATCGTGATCGCATATCATACTTTGTAGAGCTTTAGATTTTACTTTTTGGCTTGGTGTCTGCTGTTGATGCTGTCTCTGTAAATTGGTTTGTGGTTTCAACAGGGAAACTTGTTTCTTTCGTTCCTGCTTCAATTTCATTTGTAAGGGGTCAATAATGAATAATTTACCCTCCTTTTGAAAAACCATCTGCTTGGGAGAGCTTACAGTATTTTTATTACTTTTCGCATTGTATATGTTGTTTGTTGCATGAAATTCGCCATTATTATTTGTGACCAATAAATTTGTACGATTAACATCATTTGAAACGGTAAATAGTTTCGAGGCATGATTTTCTATCGCCATTGCAGAGGATTCGAAAAATGTTTTTTTCTTTGCTGCTACAGATAATGCTCTGTACACATTTTGAGACGAGTCAGCAGTTCCTGCAAAATTTCAAAGAAGTACCGTAAGTGTAAAAAAAATAAAAATATTTCGCTGTGTGTACAATTTGTTAATATATAAACATATCATACATATTTTAGTTAATTATTTTTATCGTATTTTTTTGCCAAATTGAAAAGAACCTGGTTAATTTACTCACCATTTCCTAAGCTTCCGATTTTCTTGTCACCCACTGGTTTTTGCGTAGGAGCCACTAGTACTCGCATACATTTTATTTTGCCCTCAGCATCCACCAACTGAACCAGTTTCTTTTGCAACACAGTTTTTTTACCTGCGTTCTTCACAGACATGTTTGCGAAACTAGAATTACTATCCGATGCGCCGATTTTATTCATGTTTGTAAATTTTAGTGGCATAAGCTTTCCTACTTTACTTATTGCAATAATATTATTATTGTTTTTGTTAATATTTGAAACTTGATGGGTATTGGCCGCAGTTGTAGTTTGAAGCCTCATTATCATAGGAGTTGTGAGCTGCATTGATTTTCTACTTTTTATAATAGTAGCAATTTCTTTACTTATGTCAGAATTTGTATTTGTCGATTTTATGTCGACAACTTTTGTGTATCTAAGATTTGATATATCACTTTGAGTATTACTAATATTTGAAGTAGAGGATTGACTAACAATAACACTATTTGTAAGAAAATTTTTACCACTAGTCCTTTTACTGTTCAGTAACGAAAGCGAACAACTATTCCCGCGTACCATCTTATCTTTGCTTAGAGCGGGGCAATTCATTTCATTGTTTGATGAAGCTACTGACTTTTGAGGGCCCTTGCAGATTATTTTAATCGGACTATTACTTGAAATATTTGCAAGTGGCTCGTTTACGACCACTGATGGCTCTATCTTTGAAATATTAGCAGATGCTGCATCGATTTTGTTAAAAAACCCGAATAAACTCTCGTCTAAATCTTCTTTGTTATGTTTGAAAGATATTTTACGATGTTTCGTTGTGTTATTTATACGACCTCTTTCGGCTGTTTCAATAATATTTTCAATTGTAGTTGGTTTTATATTTTCAAAGACGTTGCTTTTTACATTAAAGGGCGACTCATGTTTTGCTTTCGTAAATACAATATCAGAACGAAGCCAAATTTCCATTAAAGTCTCTGAACCAAGGGTGTGCATTCCACTTAACGTACGATCAAGCACCACGTTATGTATAAGTTGTACAGGCTTTTGTTGTAGATATTCATGAAAGAAGAGCTGAATTCTCATTGGAAACTCGCCCCAACCTCTGCGGGCTATTTGGAAAGGCGCCGTTCCAATGTCTACTATGTCATTTGGGCGATATGAGGTATGTAGATGAAAACGAACTTTTTTTATAAAAGATTCCAAGTTGATTTTAGGATCTTTTGATTGCACATAAACTAGCCATTTATGGGTTAAAATATTTCCGACTGTTATTTTAAGTTCCGATCTAGCATCTACTTCTCCTCCTATATACGTTGAAGTATTTCCTATAACAACAAAATGTTTTGTTTTATTATTAAAACGAGTTGAATTCAAGGATTTTCCAGTTTTTGATGGAATAAAACTGGCGTTCTTTCCGATTGCAGATAATTGTTGATTTGTTAGGTGGGTATCTTGAGATTTCGTTTGATCAACTGTACTAACTGCTTCCACCATTTCTATTTCTTTTTCTTTCGAATGATCTATCACTAAACCCTGATTCTTTATTAATTGTTGCAAACGTCTTTCTTGTCGTTTTTGCGATTGAGATCGGGATCTTATGGTGTTCAATGCATTTTGAGCCGCTACACGTTCAGGTAGAGGGCGTTGTGTAATATCATACATTTTGGTAGGGGCCTTTTCTTTTCTTTTTTTTAAAGATGGGTGCAGTGCCATTTGAAAACCATGATCCTCTTTGTCAAAAAGAGATTCTTTTCCACGAATTTCTAGGGCATCACCTGTTGATATTGATAATTCTTGTTTCTGGTAATAATCCAATACTATAACATGCCGCAAACGATCCAGGAAAATGCGAGCTTGGTCCAAACGTTTCTCGATTGCAGCTAAATGTTCTTGTTTTAGAGATATTTCTTTTTGAAACTCACTTGAAATTATTTCATAAATACATTTTAACGTAGAACTAGTAGGTGTTAAAAATTTACTTATTTGAATTATATTAGAATCACCATCGCGCGACTTTTTATATGGACTTGAATGCAAACGTATATAATCCGGATCATGGTATTCACTCGGATGCTTACGCTTTTGAGGGGAAATAGTGTTGGGAAACATCTTAAACGAAGTACAATTTGTATTGAAAATTCTAAATTTCTTAGTGCAGATGGAAATTTAAGAGTATCTTAAAAAGTTTTAATTTTTTCAATAAATGTTCTTTCCAGAGAACAATAAACCCGCGTCCTTTGACAATTAGTATGTAAAAACCAAAATAGTAGATGTGTCAAAAAACTTGTCATTAACCACGCTGCCCGTCAAACTGTTTTCATTAAAGGATTGCCAATTTAATTCAATGTTATATAAAAAACCACATTGAAATTTTTTCGTATAATATTAATCACAAAATTTATAGTTATTTAAAGAAAAGTTAATTAGGAATGCTTTACAACAACAATATAATATTAAGTATTAGAAATTCATATTTACGTTAAGTGAAAATTTTAGAATAAATCCAGATCCAGGTTTCAGTTTAAAAATACATACACATATGTATGATATTTACATATACTCTATATACTTAGATATTTGCATTTAAGATTAAAAAATTTAACAATTTAATGAGTGCAATTTTTGAAATTCAAAATTTGACGATCTCCTCTATTCGTCCATACCATCAGATGCTGACTGTTACATTTCTTCAGTTTTTTTTTCGCAAGAAAATGTCTTACTCGTTGAACTTATAATTTCAGTTAAGTGATCTTAATTCTACAGAATTCTGCCGCTACAACCACAAAAACAACTAAGTTACTTGGAAAATATGTGCAAAATGTGTTAAATATATTTTATATATATGTACATAAATTATTTTAAAAAATTCACAACATCTAAATTTGACACAGTATAGCGCTCAGAAATTGGCTTGTTTGACGTTAATAACTGATTTAACTGCAAAAAATATCTTATTTTTAACAGAGCACTAAACATTTTTGAAATTGATGATGTAAGGATAGGGGTAATGGATGTCAATTTCCTAAGTGAAATAAAGTCATCTGGTGACAAAGAATTATTGAAGAGAGAGCTGCCACATCTGATGCGATTCCGCACATCGAGAGGAAAGTAGTGTGGCAGCGAGTCGAAAAATCAACAATTTTTGTTTATTATGTGGATCTAAAAAAGAAAGGGCATGCAGAACTGGACATCTTTTTCAGCAAATGCAAAACGCTTGTTGATTTCTGTAGCCAAAGTTATATAATAAATTTTGAAAAAACGCTTGACATCACAAATATATTGTTTTGTAACGGATTTCTCAATAAGCCGCCTACCTATGACTTACTCTTGAGTGCGATCACTGGATTGTTAAAAACAGTCCCAATTTAATGGCTATACACTTATCTTTATTGCTAATTCCAACAACTTAACACTTATTGCTCGTTATTCGAGCGTATAACTTCTTGCTTATGTCTCAATTGCTCTAAACACGACAACACTTACTGTGTTTGCTGCACAATCCGGCAGCCATTATATAGTAAATCTTTAACAAAAGTTTGCAACCAGAACATTCTGTCTAATTGATTTTGGCAATTTATCGTCGATTCGATTTTGTTCTATCATCCGTGTTCGTCATACTGCCCTCCATCTCAGTCTGATCGTTCCGATTAGACATATTTGCAGTGCCAAATACAAAGCTTTTATGTCCCTCATTTCGTCTTCTGGGCTACTGTTAACTTCCTTAGCCGTCCTTCTCTTCTTGAAGTTAATTCCATTCGTTTTCCGGATACCCAGTTTCTGATACATCCCTTCACTTAAAGCTGACTCGAGATTCCATTCTTGGTCAGAACGTTACTCAATTGAAACACCGAATCTCGTTACCGACTTGTTAATGAATGCGAGCGTCACTGGTTCAGCTTTTGATTAGGCATTGTGTATACTTCTGGCCATTCGTTGAAATGGTCCTTGACTACCAAAACATGACAATTTCTTAATTTATTGGTGGAAAAGGAACTATCTTCATCCACGCCTATTTGGTCAACTGGCGCACCCGAATTGTACTGTTTTTTATGACTCCTGGACCTTGATCCTTCAGCTACAATGCACTCAGCATATTTCGCAATCCTCTCCATAGGTGATTGACGAAAACCAGAACAATAAAACCTTTACTTCAATTTCTCCAAGGTTTTCGTGATTCTCAAGTGTCCTCCTCTTAAACCTTTGTACTGCACATTAAGAACTTCAGGAATTCTGAAATTGGGAACAACCATAAGTACTCGCGAGCTTTGCTCATTTTCGCTTTTCCATACTCGATGCAAGCAGCCACACACCAACTTTAAACTGCTCTGCTCTGCCTAATATGCTTTTTCGACTGGCCTTCCGGTAGTTATTTCTCCACTCGTTGTACGTTTGTTCCAATCTACTTCATACATTGCACCTTGCAATTCTGGATCTTCTTGGAAAGAATCATCCTTCAGCTTTCATTTTATCCTGCTCTTCCAACTGTGAGGAACCTTGTATTAGTATACACGCTTCCTGCTCTTTTGACTGTGAGAATACCTGTGCTGAGCTTCTAGCTTTTCTGACTATGAAGACCCTTTTACAAATTGAAAGCAAGTTCTTGATCGTGTAACTTTAGCGTTAGCGAACGCTTTTCCAGCAGAACCTTTTTTAAATTATTTAATGGTTGACTGGCAGTATTGCCAGAAATTGTTCAAGAAAAATCAGCCATGTGAAGATTAAATCTTTAAAAATCAAAATAATATGAGAAAAAAAGGCTGGGGTTTAGGATAGCTTCCCCCGAATTTGGGTTTAAAATGGGTATGTACGGATAGAGGAGGTTGTCCAGATTAAGAAAGTATACACATAGCCAATAAAGTCTGCATTCCCCCGACACTATTTTTTAAGTGAAGTAACAACACTATGTAAATAGGTAATTCAGTTCAAATTTTCTATATGTATTTCTTCTTTATATTTTTAAGTTCAAAAGGCAAAAGCAAAAATGTATATTTCTATTTTCATTTTTGTGATAACGGGATTTTAGTGTAAGAACAAGTAAACATAGGCACCATTAAGTCTGCGTTCAGTTAGCTCTTATTGGAAATACCGTTACTTTATTGGTATACGTGAATAAATTGAGTAGAACAAAAGTTAAATATTTAATTCAAGTTATTTTTGCACTGTTGTCATTCGACACACTTAGGCCTTTAGGAGGCCCATTGTGATACCACTGGGACTGTGATCCCCTCACTCTATTGGCTCCTCTCTGAACCACCCCGTACTTCTGATGAACTTCATCAGTGAGACAAGTTTTATCTGTGCAACCTCCGAGACGTCGTCAAGAAACCCACGACCGATGGTTGCGATTATTTTCCTATATAGTGCTGCGCAATCGCAGAGAAGATGTTTAATGGTCTCCTCCTCTTCTGCTTCCTTACAGCTTCTACAATAGTCGTTATATGGCGCGCCAAGTCTACTTGCATGTCTGCCTATTAGACAGTGGCCTGTTAGTACTCCTACGAGAGTTCTTATATCATTCCTCTTGAATTTTAACAGTCGGCATGTGCGGCTCATATTCCATTCTTGCCACGTTTGCCTGCTAGTTGAGCAGGTCAGGGATTGATTCCACTGACACTCGGCTATATTAATGACATGTTTGTCGATTAGGTATCTACACGTAGCCAGAGGCATATTTATGTCCACCTTACCAGGATCTAGTTGTAGGGTGGTGCCTGTTCTGGCTAGTTCATCTGCTACGCAGTTACCAGGGATGTCACTGTGTCCTGGAACCCATTGCAGATTTACAGTGAAATAGGATGACAGATCCGCTAGAAGATCATGGCAATCCTTCACTGTCTTCGACGAAATCCTATGAGACATCAGAGATTTCAAAGCCGCTTGGCTGTCTGTATATATAAGTACACTTCTTGTTGTGATTACGCTTTTTGTTAGCACAAGAAGGCTTTCTTTAATTGCAGTGACCTCTGCTTAGAAGACACTACAGTGGTCTGGTAACCGGAAGGCGATTTTGGTATCTAATTTAGCCGAGAAGACACCGCCGCCTACTCGGTTATCCAGTTTGGAACCATCCGTATAGAAGCTAATCCCTTCTTCCTTGTCCACTACATCCCGTTCCCACTCCTCTCTGGAGGGAAAGGCAATATTGAGGACCGGATTTAGGTTCAGCTCCCCCGGATTGCGAAAATCCGTAGTTATGGGAAGAAACGGGAACTTCCTAAGTATCCTAGAATGCCCCTGGTTACAGGCGACTAATAGGGAGGCTTCCCTCAGTCTTAGAGCTGACTTCGCTGCCATTTGCTTGCAATATAAGTCTGTTGGCAGCAAGTGTAAAATTATGCTGAGTGCCTGGCTTGGCGTAGTTCTGAGAGCTCCACTGATGCAAATACTAGCTGCTCTTTGTATACTTTCCATGCTTCTAATCGCATATTTCTTTTCTGTAATTGGCCACCATACTACTATCCCGTAGGTCATGATCGGCCTTACAATTGCTGTGTACAGCCAGTGAGCCACCCGAGATGTCAGTCCCCACCTGGGCCCCACCATTCTTTTACATTCTTGCACTGTTTAACATTGTGAAGAACATGGATGATAGAACATAATATCGAACCGACGATAAATTGCCAGAAGCAACAAGACAGTGAATTCGTAGTTGCCAGAATGTTCTAGAGTCGAAGTTTTATTAAAGATGTACCTTATAAAGGCTCCCAGATTGTGCAGCAAACACAGTTCTAATTAGAATGGTGCCGTGTTAAGAGCAATTGAGACATAAGCAAGAAGTTGTCGAATAACGAGCAATAAGTGTTAAGTTGTTGGAATTAGAAATAAAGATAAGTCATTAAATTAGGACTTTTATTTGACAATCCAGTGATCGAACTCAGGAGTGAGTTATAACTAGACGACTTATCGAAAAATCCGTTACAATTAGTGTCAGAAGTGGGATTGACAAATAAATTTCCAAGGAGATAATTATTTGAAAATTGGCAAGTTTAACGATCTGAATATTCCACAACTGAAAAAGGAGCTGGAGCAACGTAGTTTGGCGATAAATGGAGTGAAAATTTTATTACAATTACGGTTGCGAATATGTGAAGTGGCCAGATAAAACCGTACGATTCGGGGGCGCCAGTTGACCAAATTGGCGAGGATGAAGATGGTCCATTTCCCACCAATAAATTAGAAAATAGTTTTGATAGTGAAGGACAATTTCAACTTATTGCCGCCGTTCAAGATCACTAATAAATAATGTAAAACAATAAAAGTTAAGGAAAACATAACATTTAAATATATTTGATTACATTTTTTGTGATGTGATGCGTAGTAGTAATTTTCAGTTGTAAATGA